GGCCTAACGAGTTGACGGGGCTCCGGCTCGACGAGCAGGAGTAGGAACGGAGTGGATTTTAGTCAGTAAGAATCTGTCACTCCCTCTCACCTAACCCAAGGCGGGAGAAGTGATTGGATGATTTTCCGACCTCAAAAAAAATATCCTTTAGGTAATGACAACCCGATGTGTGAAAAACTACCAAAAAAACTCCTTATATTATTGGTATTGATTACGCTGTGGAAATTATGGACAATAGAGCCAAGGGATGTATTAAGTCTTATAGAGGACATTAATATCAACATTAAAGTACATGTATCATTTATGTAACTAACCTAATATCAGAATACCTATTTTTTCATTTAAATGTTTGCGATAGTAACGCACGTCGCACCGGTACATATCAGGTCACATTATAGGAGAGAGGAAATCCCAAAATGACGGAAACTATGCGCTAAAAAACCGGGACCAAGGACGTTGAAATAAAGAGGGGCTCTTACCTTTTAAACCATTGAACCTATTTGGTGAAATTCGGTACAGCGATAGTTTGAGACCCGGGAAAGGACATCTAAAAGTTTTTAACTCGAAAAACCCACGAAACCGGGAACTGTGCTGTTAAAATCACTATATCTATTTGATTGAAATGCGATACAACATAGAATAGTGAAACCTCACGAGACGGGCACTGTACGGGTAAAACCTCCATGGGATTGTTTATTTTAGAAACCACGAAAATAAATTCTTTTCTCAATAAATATAACCTAGGTACTGAATCGACTGTGATGATATTTGTTCCAGTTGTACAGCCGTAGAATATACCTTGACAAAGACTAATTTAAAAAACCCAATTTATACAGAAGTCGTTATTTCACGCGGACGAAGTCGCGGGTAACAGCTAGTGCCAAATAATGTCAAATAAAATTAGGATCATCAAATAAGTCATGGACATCTGGAACACCAGAGGCGTTACAAGTGCGTTACCGGCCTTTTGGGGATTAGGAGTTTGAGGATCTTTGGAGATTCAGGGATTGGGGAAGGAAAGGGGGTAACTTCACTCTCACGACGAAACACAACGCAAGCGTCGCTTCACATCGGTTTTCTGTGAGGCCATGGTATAATTCCGGTCGAGCCAGCCCATTTGTACCGAAGCATGGCTCACCTACACTCAAGTGTCTAGATATATTTTCGTCTAGATAGAATTTTAATTTTAGAAAGGATTTAGAAAATGTGCGCCAAAAATAGGAATTGTTCGTTATTTTCGGAATTTGTGCACTTTGGAATTTCAGATAAGATGAATCATTGTTAATGTTTGTATACGAATATAACAAAATACTATAGAAAATTTGAAATACCTTACCCATACGCACTACCGATCACATCAATGTCAAGTTATACAACTGTGTTAGTTGTAATGCAAATTAAATCAATGAATACATTTATTTTACAATGAAAATATATAAACAATACACAAAGGTCCATCCATTATAATGAAACGTCAATATGTCTAACATTTAACGTGAGTTTGTTTACATAGTTGTGACGTCACAGCTATTGCATTGTCTGCTTAATGTTTTAAATGGGGCGGAAACCCGGTGTTCAATATTAAATGAGGGAGTTATTGAGTGTTGCCAATTATTAAATTGTGGGAAATGTATTTTGAATTGGAATTGAGATATTATTTGAAAGCCTGCTAAGCTTAGTAGATTCTGAGTTTGAGGTGTCGAATTTAACCTATACCTTTGTCAGTTTCCCCCGGTATTATTTTATGTTTTTTCCACTGCAAATTGCACGACTTTTTATCGAATTTTAATACTATGCTCATCTCTTGTAACAATAACTGACCTCGTATATCAATCTGTTCAATCTTAATAACCACACTAGAGGCTCCTAAACTAATAACGATGCTTAATTTAGAATTTATACAGTTTACAATTTTTCCATTGAAAAAATTCCGTTGATATTTCCGCATGCCAGTGTAAATATGCGTCGGCGTTGTGTATCGTTAACCCAATTACACGACAGTGGGTAGGCAGGTATCTACTTATTCAATTATAACATTATCCATTAATTATCGTTTCATCAGTATTTCCATTATGTTTTAGCGCTGCAGAGTGGGAGAGCTTTTAAAATAACGCAGTGTCATTATTAAAGGTTTTCTTTTTAAATTGATTACATGTTATCTTTATATTTTACAATGCTATATGCTATTTTGACGTTGTAACATCACTCTGTTACTGTATACAGCATGGGTGGCCAACCATTCGATCACGATAGTTTTATATTTTCCCTCATAATAAAATAAAAGTACTACATAATTGTGTACGAATTATGCTGTTTCATTTCAGATTTTAAGTAATAATATAATTGGTAGATCGTACTAGGGGTCGTCAGGGAAAAATCGATCTTGGATCTAAACAAGTTGGCCATCCCTGGTATACAGTAACTTATAAGTCAGCTTCAAAAGAAAGAAGTGAGAAAGGTTGAGATGTAGAGGACAAAGCGACAATGATTTACTTTTTTTTGGTTAAAGTCAAGTCAAAGTAAATGATAAAGTTAAAATCATTTATTTCAATTATACCAGAAAGGCACTTTTAAACTACAACATGTTTTTAAAGTGAAGCTATTTCAAACGATAGCAATATGCTCCCAATCTCCACGTATAACAAATAAATCAAGTACCTGTCCATAATGTAGTTTATTAACATTTGATTACCTGTAAAAATTCACAGAAAGAATATATATGACACTTAATTAGCCAAGAAAAATGGAACTCACACACTCTCCCTAGGGTTTGTGATAACCGCAACCCTCATGGCTTCCTTGATGGTCATCAGAAAAGTCTCGCTCACCGGCCCATAAGACCAGTAGAAGATGTACAAGATCATACTGTGGATCAGGTTGTTGTCCGTCAACTGAAAGAATAAGAAAAATGAAGAAAGAGAGCATTTATTCAACAAATAGGCACACAAATACAAAGTAAATTAAATTAAAAAATAAAATTAAATGAAAATACGGATATTTAATTATAATGGAAAATAGTAAAATAAACTTAAGAGTAAATAAGAAGAAAACAACAACAAATAATAACACACTATGAACAATACAACAAAAACAGAAAGAGTTAAAAATTAAAAAAAAGAAATAAATCATAAAATAATATCAATGCGATCAAATGCGAACTACAAATATTCGTCATCACAATATTATCAGCCAAAAGTCCATTACTGAATATAGGCCTCCGCTAATGACATCCAGTTTGGATGATTGGAAGTGACCTGTAACATATTACATATATATTTAAAAGTACAAAACACACCAGTTTTAATTGAAGTGCTAATTTTAAATAGCTGATATTTGCTCTCCCATTTCATGTCTTCTAAATTTAAACCAAAACTATTGTATAATTAGGTGACGGACTGCTTCATTGGCCGAGTGGTCGCAAGTGCAAAGTAGTCGGGCAAAGAAATAAAGAAACAAACAAAAAATCAAATCTTTCCTCTTTATACTATTAGTGTAAGTATTACTTTAAAAATCTCAGTAGTAGCACGGAATAGGACTCATACCATAAATAGTGAAAAGTGGGTGTTACATTGTACAGTAACATTAAGGGCCGAAATGTGCACCTCTGCCTACTCCTTCGGGGATAAAAGGTATAATGTTATGATGGTCTTGTTGGTAAAATGAAACTATTCAATACTCATTTTCTGTTTATGTGGACACCTTAACAATATAAACCAAGCTCCATTTACTTACTGGAGCTTCTTTTTATTACATTATAGTAAATTTCCTATAGAGAACACATCACAAAGCAGACATTTTATTAATAATCCTTTACCTATCTTCTATTATAACCTCAATTTACCTAGTCTCCATTCACTGCCGTATACCCAACTCAATAGGATTAAAGTCCAAAGTAAATTAATATTACTGAATAAATTATTTGTGTAGTAAATTAAAATTGTGTGTTGAATGGCGTAACAGATTCAACTGCACGCTTTAATAATGTTCCGAACCGTTAATAAATTCAAATAGAGATGCAAAAAGTGATTTATTAATGCAGTCAGCGCCATCTTTTTAATTAATGTAAACTGTGGAATATTAATTATGGAACGTTGTAATTCATGTACAATTTTGAATGATTTTATCTTTATAATGAGTTGGGGAAATGTTGGTTATTTGTTTATTATTTAGGTTTTTTAGATATTTTATTTCAAAACTCGTTTGTATTTTGTACATTCACAATAATAATATTTTCACTGGCACATACTATTAATTTCAGGAACTGTAACGATTTTTCGAAAAACCGAAAAAGACTCAGAAATATTTTCCGAAATCGGAAATCGATACGTTTTGCTAGGCCGTCGCATTTACGATTACTGATCAACGAGACAATCTTGTCAGTTAGTTTGGAAATAAATCCTAAAAAATTTGTTGCCAAGAGCTAGTTAAGAAACAAACTAATCAGATAATACTTCTTCGGATCCTATTACCAGGAAAACAGAATTAGTAGAACTAACACCGAGCGAGCAGATTGAGCCGCTAGTGCTAAATATAAATTTAATGGTTTTGGGGGTTGTGGCGGGCTTGTCCCATAAAAAAATGTATGTCCTCTGTACAATTTGTGGATTCTCAAATTGTACAAAGTAGGAACCCTTTTTGATAGTGAAAACTATTTTATGGGATAAGCCGGTAAACGAGCAGACGGATCACTTGATAGTAAGCAATCAGCGTCGCTCAGGGACACCCGGTAAACCAGAGGCGTTACGAGTGCGTTACAAGCCTTTTGGGGATCAGGAATTTGAGGATTGTTAGAGATTCAGTGATTGGGGAAGGGGGGGAGATGGTAATTGGGCCTCCGGTAACCACACTCACGTGAAACACAACGCAAACGTTGTGGCAGTCTAGATTCTTGTCAACAAAGATAATGATGTCCGACTGCTGTCATTCAAAGTATGTACCTACTTAGTACTTTAGGAAAAGTCTTAGTACGTATTTAAGCTGTGGAGGACTTAACGGGTTGCCGGGGCTCTGGCTCTAAGGGCAGGAGTAGGAACGGGGTGGTTTTTAGTCAGTAAGGGTAGAAGTCTCAATGATTTTCCCCCTTAAAAAAAGTACCTATTTAAACTTAAATACCTATAGACTAAAATGTCTTTGATTCTGAGTTATCTAATCTTTAAGGAAATTGTTAAAATAACGTATGTGTTTTTAATTTAAAAAATGTAGCATGAAACTGCGGAGATGAAGAACTGAAGATGTTCTTTGTTTATGCCGGCTGAAGATTTAATATGATATTTGTTTTAATAATTCGACGCTCCCAACCAAGAACTCGGTAATGTGCTATTATCGGGTTTATGCTGTTATGTCAATTTCGGCGCGTATGGACTTGAATACACCTTGACAATTTTTCTCAGATTTTTCCTAATAATAGTTACAAAGATATCATGACGCCCATGTTTATTGTTGGGAATTAATACACAATAATATCTCGGCAAAAAACATGTTATACATCTGTACGAAAAAACAATTTATATTTTATTTTGGTAAGTTGCGATTACCGGGTTATTGCCGTAAATAATTTTCATGAAGATTTAGGTAAACGTGTGTACGGGGTTTTTGTTGAATTCATTGTAAAATACGTATTCCGTAATACACACTAACAATGTTATTGAAGATTGGTATTGGCTCATTAATGTACGTAATATTTCAATACGGTTAATTTATTCCAAATTTCAATACACCTAGGTTTGTTCTGGATATTACTGTTTTTGTCCAGCCGCGCAATAGTTTGCAAAGCGCAGTTGTCTCTTTTTTTTGGTAGTTGATAGACAGTAATAGATATATGCCACGCCCCCAACAAGTGTTATTGGCCATCGGCTCGGTGCGTAAAGTTTGTTTACGTAAACAGTTTCATTCAGATCTCTGGACTTGCACGCAAATATTTGCGCCACGCTCGATATTATTTAAGTTTTTTAGCGATAAACGGATAGGTAGTTTATTAGTAAAGTTATTGAGTGCACAGTGATAATGAGTTTTAGAAGAAATAGACCATTAATAAATGAACGTGTGAAACGAATGCTTCAAATGGTTGAGGACACAGTTATTACAAGTAAGTACCTACTTTATCATAGTACCATCACTTATTGATGTTATTTATGATTGTGTATTTTGTAACGTTTTTGTTTACTATAAATGATAGGCGCTGATCAAGAGGCAGAATGTCCAGAAATAACTCCGAAGGCATCTACTAGTGCAATGTCTGACGGCCAAACGTTATCAAAAGGTTTATAGATTTTTATTACACCTAATTGCTCACTAGGTGGCTATCTACCTACTAAAGAATAATATGTTGTAGCCGTTGTAGGTATTGTAACAGTTAGGCCGAGGCCGCACTACGGTTAAACCGCGGCGGTTTTTAACCGCGTGAGTTCGTGAATCAGGAAAACGAATACAAAATCAATCGCGGGAAAAAACCGCAAGTGCGGCCGTTTGTATTAGTTTTCCTGACTCACAAAATCACGCAGTTAAAAACCGCCGCGGTTTAACCGTAGTGCGGCCTCGGCCTTACATGGTTGTAACTTTAATAATTCGTGAAGTCGTCGTTATGTCGGGTCGTGCTAGCTAAGTCAAGTGTACGATACGATATATGATATTTGTAAGTTTTTTTTTCAAAAAGGAGGGGTTTTCAATTATTAAAATGTAGTTTTACACGATACATCAATACCTTTCATTCATCTTAAATAATCAAGAATATATTTCAATTCGGTGTCAGCTAAATCTAATAAATAGATACATAAAATGCAGGGTTATGTACCTATGTGCAAGCTGATAATTTTTGGAGACGGTTTTAGTTTATTGAAAACTTTAATCTTTATCATTTCAGATACAGATTGCGATATTATTGCAGTTGATCCCGAATCTAGTGTAAAAGAAACCTTTTCCAATCAAGTTCTGTCAAAATATGAGTTACGAGGTACGTATTAAATCCTAACCGTAGATAATTTTAATCATCACATTTTTTCTGTGACATTCAAATTTTTATAAGTAAGTAGTATTTTTACATTCCGTAGCAAAATAACAAAAAATATGCATATTCCCTATGTTATTGATTACAGACAAAACGAATAAAAAATACTTTGAAACTGATCAGGAATCCGATGAAGATTTTTCGCCAGACGTCTCGGAATATGCTCCTAGTCCAAGCTCAAACATATTCAAGAGTCCATTAAGTAGCGTTTCAAGTCTAAGCGGAGACTCTGCATGTATAAATAAAATTATAGCATTCCCAGAAATTATTAGCACTCCATCAACAATTTCTAATCTATCATTATATTTAACCAATGCTGATTTCGTGGCTTCTTCATCAGAAATATATAATAATAAAGCAACATTAGATTTATCTCACCCGATTATTGAAAAGGAAAATCAATCAAGACCAAACATAAGAAGAACAATAAGTAGCCAAGAATATATAGATGACACGTTCAAACCAGATGAAACTTTAGAAATTAATCACAATGAAACATTGACAGGTAGAACCTCAAATGATTGTTCACATGCTAGGGAAGTTGTAACCGACAATGAGGATAGTCCAAGCTTAATACGGAAAATTTGTAGCGAAGAAGAAAACAATGAAACTTTGAGACCAGAAGAGCAGTCAGAAAGTAACAATGACACAACATTGACCGGTAGAACTTCAAGCGATTGCGAGCACATGGAGGCAGTAGAAAACGAAAAAAAACTGACTAGGAAACGCAAGCAGAATAGAAGTGAGTGGCGTAGTAAAAAAAATAAAATCCTCAAAAATTCCGGGAAAGCCTACGAAGGGTGCAATACTAAAAAAAAATATCCTGAAAAAACTATAGGCTCCCCATGTGCGTGTAAAAAGGGTTGTGGCCAAAAATTCAGTCCGTCAGAAAGACAAGCTATATTTGACAAATTTTATAGTCTGGCTGATCGCGAACATCAATGGTTGTATATCAGTAGATATGTCCAAGCACAAACTATTAAACGAATGACGTTAGACCGTAAAAACAACCGCACACAAACTTTGAATTATTTTTTCCCTAATTCAAATAATGAAAAAATTCCTGTATGTAAAAAATATTTTTTGAATACTTTACAAATCGGAGAATATGTGGTGTATACAGCAATGGAAAAAGTTATGAAAGCAGATGAAGGACTTAAGGATAAACGGGGAAGACATGATAATAGGCCTAACAAAATGAATACTATGACAGAAGCCACTATTAAAACTCACATTGAATTATTTCCTAAAGTACAGTCGCACTATACAAGAGCGACTTCAAACCGAGAATATCTTTCAGAAAACTTAAATATTTCAAAAATGTTTCGCTTTTATACTGAGTGGTTTACAGAACAAAATCACACTGATGTTGTAATGGCAACAAAACGACAATACGAAACAGTTTTTAACTCCCAATATAACTACTCATTTTTCAAACCCAAAAAAGACCAGTGCCTTTCATGCTCCATTTATGAACAATCAGACGACACTATGAAAGCCACCCTTGAGGAAAAACAAAGACTTCATTTACAGAGAAAAGAAAAAGTAAGATCATTAAAAAAAGGAGAAATAGAGACAGCTGACAAATCTAATGTGACAGTAGCAATATTTGACTTGCAAAAAGTGTTGAGTGTGCCTCAATCTGAAGTAGGCGTATTTCATTACAAAAGAAAATATCCATGCTACAATTTTACCGTTTTTGATGCAGTACGAAAAATAGGATATTGTTATGTGTGGCACTACCAAATTGCTAAAAGAGGCAGTTCAGAAATAGGAAGTGCTTTGTTATCTTTTTTTAAAACTGAGCGTGAGAAAGGTATAACCAAGTTTTCATTATATTCGGATGGATGTTATGGGCAGAACAAAAATCGTTACATTTTCGCCCTTTATGTATATGCTGCCAAACTTTTTGATATAACCATAACTCATCGTTTTTTTGAAACTGGACATAGTCAAAACGAGGGAGATTCCATGCATGCATGCATAGAAAAAAACTTAAAAAATAAAGTTTTATATACGCCTGACCAAATTTATAGTATTATTTTAAATTCAAAGATTACTGGCGAAAAATATCGTATCAAAGAATTAGAGCAGTCCGAAGTTTACGATTTAAAACCACTCGTAGAAGACAAGTATTGGCGGTGCGATAAAGATGGAAATGTGATCCGCTGGGCTGACGTCATGGAGGTAAGCGTAGTCGATACACAAGCAAATAAGTTGTTTTTCAAATATAATTTTGAAGACTCTTATTCAGAGCTTGATATAAACAACACTCCCTCTACCTCAGCTAGACGACGAGGACGAAAGCGTACGAGTACTCAAGATGCAGCTGTATATATGGATAACATTGCAACGCGCTTACCACCAACGTATACCAATAAGCAAAGCTTTGCATACAGACCTCTTGAGTTTATGTAAAAGTGGAGCTATTCCTCAGAGCTACCATTCTTTTTATCAATCTTTGTCGTGTTCTGAAGCTGTGAACGAAAATATTTCTGAAGAAGAACAGAACTAAATTGAAGAGTTTAAGCTCAAAGTTGATTTTTTAGATTTTTTAATTTGATTTATTGGATTATTTTTATTAATAAATGTCCTTGGTTAATTAAAGTATCCAATTTTATTCTGTGGTTTAATAAATATTACTTAAATAATCGAAATATTTGTATTTTTTCGTATTATTTACCTACTAATATTCAGTTAAAATATTTTTTAAAAATTCGGTATCGAGTGGTAACAATAACACTGTTATTCTAAATTTCCTCGTAATAATAAAGTCATGAATCAATACCGTTTTTAAAATTATTTGAAATTACCACAATAACTCCGTAAAAACACGTTATGTATCAGCCCCACGATAAAAAAAAACCCCGTAGAAGTCCATAATATAATGTTATGAAATATTTCATTTGATAAATTTACTGCAATAATCCCGTAAGTACTATTACCATAATATTTTATGTATAAAATTTTAGGTATTATTTATTTTCCTAAATTACTAGGTATTTAATAAAAGGAATGTCATTTTAATGGCACAGGTATATTCCGCAAAAAAATAGCTTTCATTTAACACATCAATGACTTCAATAGTCCCACTCGTTGAAAAGGTATTTGATAAAATCAGTAAATCTTTTGTCCTGTAAAATTTTGATTTATCGATTACTGGGTTATTGTTTGGAAGCGTCGAATTACACTTCACACTAATATGACAAATGTGAAAGTTTCTATGTTTGGATGTTTTCCTTCAATCAAGCTGAAACTACTGAACGAATTTTGATGAAATTTGGTATACAAGCAGGGTATGGGCTGACATAGGTGTTAAGTGAAACAAGTCAATCAAGTGAATTTATTTCTGCAAATAGGCTACAAGGCAGCACTTTTACACGTCAATTTTATCAAGCGAACGATGAGGTCGACATTTCCTAACTGACCACTCTGAGAAGAAATGCCGAAACAAACTCAGAGGTCCGTCTCTTTTAAAGTCTAGACATTATGTATAACAGATTATGTGTGAGAATCGTGCAAGTTCTTTCTGTAGTGGCCTTTAGACTTTTTATCCCGATCAAATGCTCCCATGGGATAAAACATAGATAGGGCAGAGCCCTATTAGTAAATGTTGGCGATATAAATAGGAAGAACTTCAAATTACCTCAAAGAGAATATTCTCACATTCGTAAGGCTCACATAGTATGAGACTGGTTCGTTGATCTGACACGTCTAAAGCCTTTTTCAGTAACGCGTAGTACTGTAACAAATACCTCTAGTATAATGTTTATTATCTGTATAATAGTAGTGTCAAAACGTTTATTATCAGTAAGTATTATAGTAAAAATTACGGCATATATGCAACAACTAATCGAATCATCGTTTGACAGCTAATAAAGTGTTGCTTATGGGACGACGTACTCCATTGTAGACCGCATCATCGCTTACCACTAGGCGAGAGAGAGCGGCGAGATAGTGGTCAAACGTCGGTCCATCAAATATATATTATACAAAAAAGTAATGTATCATTCTGCCCCGGGGTTGTGGGAAAAGTCACCATTTGTCGACTTTACCTCAACTTGGAGCAGGACTTGGAAGGAGGTGGTTATTAGTGAGTATAAGTCTGAAACTCCTTTTTACCTCATCCAGGGCGGTAGCAAACATTTGATGATTCGCTCCTCCCTACCTCAAAAAGATTCATTTCCGTTTTTCTTTTGTTTTTTTTTTATATATCACGACGGAGGCAAAATAAGCACACGACCACCTGATGGTGAGCGGTTACCGTGGCCTATGTACGGTCGCAATACTTAGGGCATTACATTTTCCCTTTTAACATGGGACTCATAACATAACATAACTAGTGATGAAAACTAAGACCAAGTAACAACTATGTATTTCTATTTGTATACAGAAAAATCTTTCTAGAAATAATTTCTCAGTAACGCTAGGAAATTGAGTCTTTGTACCTTTTGTTTGTTTTCCTTTGTTGCTATGTCCAGATTCGTAGTCAGAACATTGTGTTCACTGAGCATACATAACAGTTCAAATACGTCCTGTGACCTGTGAGAACAAATACAGTATTTTTATCGTGCCTCTGCCTATGTAGAATGTAAGTTTTGTAGCACATGACAATATGCTTCTTTCTTTAGAGGATATAGTTGTATAGTGTTACGCTATTTTTTGTGTAAAACCGTGTGGTATAATACCTAATCTTCCCGCGGTTGTCATAAAAAACTAATTAAGGGACTATAAAAAAAATCATAGAAAACCGACGTGAAGCAACGCTTGCGTTGTGTTTCGTCGTGTGAGTGAGGTTACAGGAGGCCCAATTACCCTCCCCTTCCCCAATTTCCCCAATCCCTGAATCCCCAACGGTCCTCAAACTCCTAGTCCCCAAAAGGCCGGTAACGCACTTGTAACGCCTGGTGTTCCGGGTGTCCATGGGCGACGCCGATTGCTTACCATCAGGTGATCCGTCTGTTCGTTTACCGGCTTATGCCATAAAAAAATCACTCGGGCCTTGAAGACACCCAGGTTATACCCTTTAGGAAGCATAGACACTGGCGAAGAATTCCACTTCTTACCAGTACACACAAGGTAGTTTGAAACAGGACTACATAATGAAACAGAGAGCAGGCATTCTCTAATAATCGTAATACTTAAATTGTGATTTGCAACCTGCTTGAAGTGCGTGGGATTTTGACAAACCTCTTTTTTGTAAAAAATGGCTATTAGTAGCAGATTTCCACGAGCTTTTGATGATCATGATGGTAATGAGTTAGGTATGTATTAAGCTCATATTTATTTTACTTCTGATAATGTAATATTTTAAGTCACAAGGAGTTTTAAGGGGTATTCATTAAAAATTTTAAACCATCAAACTCTCAGTGAGTGCCCTATAAAGTCAGTTAATTTCTTAAGCCCTCAGTGGTAAAGAACACTTAGTTACCTGATGTTGGTAGAATTTCCTCTGACAATAGTGATGCTCTTCGAAGGTAATGCTTCGGCAATATCTTTTACAGCAACTGAGAAGTCTTTCGGCAGTGTAGTCATGATATCTGACGTCACATCTCTAACATCGAAAAACCCATAAACTGACACACCATATGCAAACAATATAGTTCTTAGTAATTTTATGAGTAACATGTTTCGCTTTTTGGAAATTTAATTTTATGTTCAATACGTTTTGGTAGATTTTTCTCTACCTGGAATGGCAGGCTTTTTTTATTTAAAAATAAACCTTGAGACGGTCGAAATACATAAGTGTTTTGTTTATTAAGATTGCGAAGATTGTTACATAAAACAGAATATATAATTTGATAATAATTTATATGGAAATAAAACTAGAAACATCTACATTTCTATATAAATCTCTTTGAACTAAGTTCCTTTGAAGTAAATTCTAGTAATTTGTAACGAATTCAATGCTCTCTCCGACCGACCGAGTTCGATGACTGGCTCGCGACTAATTCTCTCTAATATCTTATGATATTACCTACTTCTTATATTATATTTTTGCCAAAGACTAATTGAATAGACGCGACAATGTTTTGCCCGAACATCATGTACTTAATTTTGTAGTTATTGCTTGTAATTATGAGGATTTATTGTTGAAATAAAAAGGTATGTAAAAATACTAATGATCAAGTCTGTGTAATTAAACAAAGTAGGTGTATTAGCTATAAAAAAAGTTTACTTTATGGTATACACTATTTTACAGTGACAGTTCTCTTTAAATGGAAACCAGTGATTAAGGATATGAGGAACATAATAATATGATGAAAAATCTACTGTAACCTTTACAATATAAATAATTCCATTTATGCTTACACTATAGGACGTATAGATTCTACACTACATATACTACTTACACAATCAATGATTTATAACCATTTTCAACATCAAAGTCAAAGCATTTATTTCAATTAATCCTTAATTAGGCACTTTCTAAAAGTCAAAATTTGAATTGTTCATACGTCTGTGTGTCAGTGAAGCTAGGCGCTCGTTCTAAAGTGTAGTTCCGAATGAAGAAGAACGAAAAAGAAACTCAATCCTTACGCTTTAAAAAAAAAATGTTTTCTTTTTCATCGAAACATTGAAATCTACGTCCCAACTAAATGATCAATATTTGCATGTCGATAAGCATTCACATTTCTTTACATAGGGAACTGTTACAAAAGCCATAATATCCAAGTGTTATGACATCTGTTCATCATATTTTTGTTCTTTGACTTGTCCAACGAAGTATATCGGTCCCCTCTACGCCTGTGGATTGGCGTTTGACGAGTTAAGTGGCTACTTTTCATCGGAAGGGCCCACATGACCGATGAGTTGAAAGCTTTACCGTGTTGCCTTGCACATTGAACACCTTTGGGTTGAAGGATGAGTTCGTGCTAGAGTGAAGCGTAGGAGTTTTAGGGTTAGAAAAAGTCTTTTAGCTATTTGGCCACTTTCATAGATTGCGTTAGTATTAGTATTGTTCTATTTATACTAAACTAGCTTCTGCCTGCGACTTCGTACGCGCAATCTCGTTTTTTCCCGTATCCGTTCGTGATACTCGATAAAAAGCAAAAAAAAAAAAAAATATAAATAGTATCCTATGTCCGTCTCCTGGTTCTAAGCTACCTCCCTACCAATTTTCATCCAAATCGATTCAGCCGTTCTATAGTTATAAATACATAGTGTAACTAACACGACTTTCTTTTATATACATACTAGCTTCTGCCCGCGACTTCGTACGCGCAATCCCGATATTTCCCGTTCCCGTTCTTGACTTTCGGTAAAAAGTAAAAAAAAAGAATTGGGTAAAAAGTATCCTATGTCCGTCTCCTGGTTCTAAGCTACCACCCCACCAATTTTCATCCAAATCGATATAAGATAGGTCTGAGTTCATCTAAGTTTATATAAAGCAAATAAACTTTCTGTTGGTATGATGTCATGTTTTTTTTTTAAGGGGGGAAAATCATCAAATGACTGTTCCCGCCTGGGTGACGCGGGAGGGAGTGTCACCCCGTTCCTTCTCCTGCACTTCGAGCCAGAGCCCCGGTTACCCGTTAGGTTCTCCGCGACATGATGTCATGTTTAGAAGAATATAGAAAGTCTGAAATGAATTTGTGTACCATTTAAAGCTAAATATCTCAGAATTAAAACATATATGTGAATACCTAGAATAGTACGGGCATTCAACAAATATACGTATTAATGAACTGCTTCGTTGGCCGAGTGGTTGCAAGTGCGACTGCCGGGCAGGGGTCTCGGTTTCGATTCCCGGGTCTGACAAAGTACAACAGGGTTTTAAAAAAAAAACTCAGTAGTAGCACGGAGTCCAAAATTGAACACGGTATATGGCAATGGGACTCATAACAACATAAATAGTGAAAAGTGGGTGTTACATTGTACAGTGGCATTAAGTGCTGTAATGTGCATCTCTGTTTAATAATCGTATTACTTCGGGGATAAAAGGCGTGATGTTATGTTATATTAATAAATTAATATGCACTATTTCGGGGAAAAAGATATTTCAATATTTTTTATTGCATTCTGTTTTAAAGTCCCCTGAAATAAAATATGTAAATTACATGCAATGTTCTATTCAATTTATCCCTTGTTGAGGTGTCATATTAAATTATGTCTGCTTAGGGAAATCAAC